GAATATTCGACATTTGTTCACGATGTGCAATTTTGGCTATTTATTGATTCTTAGATAACCCGAGAGTTCTCCAAGATTTTTCCTCATTATTATTGTATTGAAGAAGCTGTTAACATTTTGCAATTTCTCTTCCTAAATCTCTTTCTTTAGCAACAAATATGTGACTTTTCAGGTTTGCAATAGCAATTTACTGGCTTTGTGTCTTACTTTCGAAGGGAATGGATTTACGTTTTGGTGGAGATGAAATGTCAGAAGTGTTTTCCCCTGGAGATGATCCGAATAAGGTATAATATTAAAACTAAAATAAACACTTGTAATGTTCTTGGTAATATGTTATTAGCATGTCGTTTAGTGTAATTTGATGTTAAAATATAATGAGATAAATCAGAGTTTCTGCTTTCGTGACACTTTCTCAATATGATGTCATCTGGATGGTAGAAAGATGTCAACAATGTTCAGATCTATCTAATCCTATTTTATTGCTCCTTAATGAGAGACATTCTTTCCAGGAATTTTGGACATTCCGTAAGTTACAATTCAATGATACCATTAGCATACGGATGAAGCACACCTCTTATGCCTATAGTTTCTTCTTCAGAAGCCAGTGCGTGTAAGTATTTGAATATGATATATATTATTATGTAACAAAGGTGCTTTTTTAAATGTTTAGTTAGAAAATCAAATTATTTTAAAATACTTTATAGATTTGCCTATCTTTTTTCTTTCCAGAATTAACTTCACATTTTTGGATTCGCGAAATGTTGAAGTAGTTCGATTTACAATTATCCCTGGCAGAGCTGAAGTAAACTTTTATGACAATTAATTGGTTTTATTAAAAAATTCATTGGATCGGATATCGAAATTACATATTTGGAAAAGGCCAACTTCAACTGAATTGTTTTTTCATTTCCAGTTTCAATTGACATGCCCTCCCAACAAGGATACTGTAACTTACTTTTCGGATAATGCTTACAAGAAAAGTTATCGGTTTGTATTATTATTCTCAAGTGTTGGGATAATGGTAAGTATTATTTGGAATTGTAATTTGGTATCCAGTTCTTTTCTGTTTAATCTTAATTTAGCTATCTTTTCATTTAGTGTATCATTTTTAGCTATTCCATGATGAATATTTGAATTCCAAAACGGATCAGTGTATTAATCGAATTACCGATATTACCAAATTCCGACAGTCTGTAATTGAAGCAAAAGGATTTGAATCGACGGTGGAAATACGATCCGAAACATCTGTATGTATTGAGTATTAAACCTTTCCTCTGTTAAAATATTTCACACTGTTGATTATTATTTATTCATTTATTTTTCATTTTATTATTACTTAATTTCAAAGAATTTTTCAGCGAATTCCTAGCAGTTGGCATATTATAGAACCAATTCCAATGGGTCACGGAATAGCTATAGAATATTTCCGGCATGGTAAAAGCATAATAACAATTCGATTAGGGGACAAGAACGGAATAACAGCACTTGCTCTAATCTTAGACTACACAAAAGGCGTAAGGAGTTTTTTAAATTTCACACAAATCAAAAATCTGATTATAACTTCATTCATAAATCTGAACAATATTCTCATTAAAATGTTAAAAGTTTTAGGTGCTTTACACAAAACGTGACAGATTAGACGACGAAAACGTAGTATGCGTTAATTTTGGAAGTAGCGTACAATTTATTTCAACAATGTTGGGCAGAATTGAAATTATCATTCTCCCCTATCATTATAAGGTTGTTTTAATTTTGATGATATGCAGTAATTTCATTAAAAATAATCATCATAAAGTCATATTGCATGATTCTGACAATATTGTTCTAACAGACATTAGTCTAGTCCGTACGTATTAAATAATATTTTGACAGTTGTGCGTCACTTCAATTGCATTGGAATAATTCGTATTGTGAAATAACAATCTGATTGTTTATAAGAAGGGAAGTTGAAAAAAAAAAAAAAGTTGCACAAACAAAGTTTTTGTGTTATTTTTTTAACAGAAAAAAAAAGTTTCTATCGAAATTATATTTCTGTGTTTACCACAAACACAAACCTAAACTTTATTGCTCAACGTAAATTTCTTTTCAATATGCCAAGAATGATCTAACATTTATAAAATAAGCGAAATAATTGATGGAAGTATTTAGCAAAATCATTCATTTCTGAGTTGATGGAAGGAATGAGTGAAAATAATAGCGAATAATTTAATTCAAATCTTTCAGATCTCTCATTCATTTGATTCTTTATGTATATTTCATTCTTAGATTGATATGCTAACTGCCGATCGTTCAAAGACAAGTAATTCGCGAGGGTGCTTGGTTTCTGGTCATCACTTATCACCGTATGATATTGGGCAAACTATTCTTGATTCAACAAGTAAAAATACAGTATTTTATTATTATTACGTATACGAGCCGTGAGCCTTTTTCCGTCAATTTCAAAGGTATCTGTGGGATATCTCTTTCATCTGTGTTCAATTACTGTGTAATCCATTGTTGATTACAAAGTGGTACTGTTACAATTATTTGAAATTGTAGCATAAAATGTATTGAAACAATGGCGAAGCCATCTTTGTCATACACAAAAGCACATAATATCAAATAGATTAAATTGTTTGCCGAAAAACTTATCAAAACTTTTATAGAGTTCGTTTGAATAATTAATTTACCAGACTGTAACAATAAACATAGAAAGAAAACGGCGAATGCAGCATTCTCTGGTATCAGTAGGATTGTTTTAGCAGGAAAAAAACAGTGAAATATTTTAAAAAATTGACTGTGAAAAGTAGGATGAGCGAGGTGATGGATTACTTCCAATTTCAACTCATTCATCTAAAAAATCTACTGGAATGAAGCTTTGCTGATGAATGTGCATTGTGCATGATTGCACACAATGCACTGCACATGATTGTGCAAATTCAAAAAACGTTATATAAAATTCGATTATATCAAATTTTATGATGCAAATGAACTGTCGCCAAATTCCTAATCATTTCATATGCTAAAAACCAAAATAACATAGCCATATTTATCCTAAGGAAAAAAAATTGTAGTACTTCTAAAATTTGTGGCTTCCAAAAGAAAAAATGGCAGAACTTGTAAAAAAAATGATAAAACATGAAAGATGGCAATAATCCTGAATATGAAGATAATAATAATTTCGAAATTTCAAAGGAGAAATACTTAGATAATTTGCAGCAGCCATCAGCATTATTAACGTCTTCCGTGAAGCCAAGTTTTATTCAGAATGCTTTCAGTAAGTATCGTAGGTTGGTCTTACCGAATCAACAAACCTTGGTCATTTGCATAACATTAAAAGGCAATAAGTAACCACAGGAATAAAACAAAATATTTTGTAAAATTTCAATGTCTTTAGATAGAGGAAATATAACTGGCCTAACATTGTCAAAATTAGACTGAAATTTGAAGTTTAAAGAATTGCTTTTCCGAAAAAAATCTGCAAATTATCACTATGAACAAATTAAAAGGAGCATAGTCTAATCAAAAATTTTAATAATTTAAAAAAATTAACAAAAAAGACTGCAAGTAAGAGGAAAAAACAGGTTGGAATTATAATGATACTATAATAACAACAGAAATTGTTTCATATGGCGTCTTTTTAATGATTATTCGTCAAAATTTTGTTCTGCAAATTTAAGAAACTGCAGTTTATCATAGCATAGTCTCTGGTTTTTCCATATATTCCTTAAAATGCTTGAGCCAGATTGCACCAACAGCACCATCAACAACACGATGATCACAGGACATTGTTACAAGCATTGTTGTTATAGTTTTGAACCTG